CTTTTTGCCAGTAGGCCACCAGAGCTCCCTTTCACTGTCTTGAATTAAAGGAGTAGTTGCAGACCATCTGTGCTGGAACTATGCAGGGAACGTATGTGCTTTGTCAGTATGCTTTATTGTTGTTTGGTTCCATCATGTTCACTCTGACTCATGAACTCATGAATGACCCTTTGAATAACAAACATGAATCTTGTCCTGTCCTATGCCATCCTCATCATCTCTGATATACTTGAGCCCATTGATACAGTCACTGTGTTGGTCCACCTTGTTGAAGGTCTTTCCATCCTTTTTTGACCCTCGACTTTTCCAAGCATGATGTCTTTTTGCCAAGGTCTGGCCTTTCCTGATAACATGCCCCCAACGTATGTGAAATAAGTGGCTATAGGGATTGCAAGAGAAGAGATGGTGCTCCTTACCCTTCTGTAAAGCTTGAATCTGTAGCAAGCAGGTCACACTTCTTCAATTAAAATTTTTAAAATCAGGGGAGCTCTGGTGGCCTAGTGGCAAGAAGCTGCACTGCAATCCCAGAGGCACACGGTTCGAATCCACCAGATGCTCTGCCGAGGAAGGAGGGGCAATCTCCTGTACCAGTCAGATCTGATTTGACGGTACACACGCACACACACAAATAATAAAAAAATTAAAAAAAATTTTTAAAATAAAAATCCCAAGACTAAAAACAAAAAAACAACAACAAAAAAATCCCAAGACTGTGACCCTTAGTCACAGTCAAACAGTAGGAAGACTTATGAAGCAAACAGTAACATCAGGGGGCACTCATTCCTTTGCATAACCAACCACATAAGATAAAAAATGTAGCATTTACCCAGGAATAAAGTTCAGAAGGCAGGAAGGGGCAAGATAGAAGGATTACTGGAAGTGAGAGTCACAGAGAGGAAGTGGGAAGTGCATTGTTGCCTTATTTTACTTGTAACCAATGTAATAAAACAAATATGTATGGATGATTGAATGGAAAACCAGTTTGCTTTGTAAACTTTCACTCAAATCACAATAAAAAGTAGAAAAAATTTAAAATTTCAATTAAAAAAAGACTTACTTAAAAAGTAATTTTAAAAAACTTAGGGCAATTATGACCTGATTATTTTTTTAAAAAAGAAGGTATCTTCATGGAAACCACAAGATATACCAGACGCCCCTAACCTCAGCCTCCAATCTCCACTGTCTAACCCTCTGCTTACAGCTGTCTATTCAGAATGAGACCTTGCTCAGCCTTTGCTTTGCCCAGCCCAAAACTCCATGGGTTTTTTTTTTCTCTCCAATCTCTAAGCAGGAGTTCTCAGATTATAAGCTTTCCTCCAGGCTTGGAAATCTTGTATCAGTCACAAGTGGAAGAAAATGTCTGACTCCAGCTGGGCATATATGTATGTGTCCTCATGAACACATGTATGTGTATGTGTGTGAATGTGCCTGTGGGTGCCTGTGGGCATGCATACAGGAAGTCTGCACAGCCCACGTATGTTCTGTGTGTATTACACATATGCAAACATGCAAGTGTACATATTGTGTATATGTGTGGACATTTGTGCTCATAGATGTCTTGGGAATGGGTATGGGGAAACATATGAGAAGTGAGCACAGTTCAAGAGAAAGAGCTGGGCCCTGAAACTGTGCTTCACAATTAGGATGGCAGATCTGCCAAAATAATGCTCATCACAGGTCAGCCTGGTCCTCTCAGGGTTTGTCTGTAGGGTGGGGAGAACTGGAAGGGTACTGTCTTCTCTCTCCCGGTGGTAGTGAGAAGATTATGCGGCTCCTGAGGGGAAGCACCTACTCTTTACGATTGGCCGAGTCCGCCCTGAGCCGAGAAGGGTGATGTGGCTGGGGTTTCACCGGCCTCTCTAGGTCTGACATTTTCAACTTTCAGAGTCTTCTGACTGCAATCTTGCTGCTTAGATGTACCTGTGCTTATATCTGATCCTTGACACCCAGCGTCCTGGACAGGAATAAAACTGGATTGTTGGGGGGGAGCTCTGGTGGCCTAGTGGCAAGGAACTGCAACTACAATCCCAGAGGC